AAAATCTGCAATTTTCCAGGAACATCTGATATTTCCCAATATTGCTTAAAAAATGCAATCTTAATCCCTTGCAATTTGAAATTTTTCATAAACATCTAATTTTGCCCAAATTTTACTAAAAAAGCAAGGTTAACCCCTTATAATTTGAGATTTATCATACAAATCAGATTTTGCCCAATTTTGCTAAAAATGCAAGGTTCACCCTTGTCTGAGTATCACACGTTATCCACGGAGCCCAGACTAGTGTCTAACGTCTGATACATCAAAGCATGCAGATTTATGCGATCTCGCGCCTCAGCCAATCGAGTCGACTTCACTAAATTGTGACGTCATTTCATTCCGAAATCAGGACTAAAGGTTTGATTGGTCAATTCGAATGCAGTGTTTTGTAATGCAACAACAGCCGGGCGCGTAATCGCGTAACCGTCCTATGAACATGATATACAGAGCGCGTGACGCGCCGCAAGGCTTTTTAATCCACTGTCTATGATGCGCAACAGGTGAATGACCGAAGACCCGATATAGAAAGCGCCCGAGGCGGGGTCTTGCCTAATTAATTAGCGAATATGCTCACATATCATAGACCCATGACATTCGCCATAGGTCTATTACATAGACTAGGTCTTACAATCTGAAATTTTCCATAAACACCTGATTTTGCCCTATTTGCTAAAAAATGCAAGTTTAGTTCCCAAAAATTTGATTTTTTAATAAACAGCTAATTTTGCCCAATTTTATTCAAAAAGCAAGGTTAACATCTGAAATTTTTCGGAAACATCTGATTTTTCCCTATTTCGCTAAAATATGCAAGGTTCACCTCTTACAATTCGAAATTTTTCATAAACATCTCATTTTGCCCAATTTTGCTAAAAATGCAAGGTTAACCCCTTACAATCTGCAATTTTTCAGAAACATCTCATTTTGCCCAAATTTAATTCAAAAAGCAAGGTTAACCCCTTAAATCTGCAATTTTTCAGAAACAACTGATTTTGCCCAATTTCGCTTAAATATGAAAGGTTCACCCCTTACAATTTGAAATTTTTCATGAACATCTCATTTTGCCCAATTTTGCTAAAGATGCAAGATTAAATCCTTACAATTTAAGATTTTTCATAAAAATCTGATATTGCCCAGTTTTGCTAAAAATCCAAAGTTAATCCCTTACAATCTGCAATTTTCCAGAAACATCTGATTTTTCACAATTTTGCTAAAACAAAAAGGCAATGATCTTAACCCCTTACAATTTGAAATTTTTCATAAACATCTAATTTTGCCAAATTTCACTAAAAAAGCAAGGTTACTCCTTTACATCTGAAATGTTTCAGAAACATCTGATTTTGCCCAATTTTGCTAAAATATGCAAGGTTCACCCCTTACAATATGAAATTTTTCATAATATTCTCATTTTGCAAAATTTTGCTAAAAATGCTCTCGCACTCGTTCAGTCAACTTTTTGATTTTTTAGCCTTTTTAAAAAAAAATGAAACAAAGGTCTATGTCATCAATCAATGAATATTTAACAATTGACAATAAACAAAATTAAGTTTCGTTCGATCAATATGACTAAAAATATTACATCTTTTAAAATAACGTTTTTTTAATTGTGAACATTTCCCAACAAATAGAGTAATTCCCAAAATAGGAATAATGAAAAAAACGAAGCCCGTCACCCTTAAAATTGGAAATGCTGAATTGAAAAACAAAGTCAAGTCAAGGGCGGATCCGGGGGGGGGGGGGGCCAAAGGGGGCCATGGCCCCCCCCCCCAAAAAAACGAAACCAATTTTTTTTTTTTAATGTGACATCGCAATAAAGGCAGGCAATGAGTACACCACCATCTTTTCCTCAAAAAAAATTGGTTAAAGTGGTCAGAAATTGCCTCAGATCGCACCACAGAGCATCTAGAATCCAAAAAAATTTCGGGGCCCTCGCGGGCCCCGAACCCCACGCCGTAATTTTTTAGACCCACTTTTTGGGGGGACCAAAAAAAATTTTGGCCCCCCAAAAATTGTGTTCTGGATCCGCCCTTGAGTCAAGTGGAACACAAAAATGTACATTAAGGGCTGAATTTTAAAAATGCCATTACACTGGGCTTTATAGACTTGCCTTTTATTTTCATTGACTTGCAGGCGCGAATCCAGAGGGTTTTTACGGGGGGGGGGGGGGTCGAACCCCTCCCCTGCTCTGACGCAACAAAGTAAGCTATTCTGCATCGGTTATTATGTATCTGACGTGTCTGAATCCCCAACCCAAATAATTTGTTGGAGACCCAGAGTGTGGGAAGCCCTGTGGGCCGCGACCCGGCAGCTATAGGCAGCGTGATATCATCATTTCAGCCGATGGCTCGTTCGTTTATAAGTGGCATTTTGACACCTTAAATATCTTCAAGTGATGAATATAAACGACCCGCCAAAAGCGTCAATTACAACAGGCGACAGGGGCTGATCCAGGAATTTTCTTGGGTTGTGGGGTATCAACTAAAAAAACTATAATGTACACAGGTTATTTTTTTTCCTCTGGACTCTTTGGCCTTCGAAAATCAATAGGTGGGGGGCCGCCTTCACCTATTTATTCGAACGGCGCCCCCACTGAAATTATTGTGCTATGCCCCCACCTAACGCCCCCCCCCCCCCGGATCTGTGCCTGGGCGACTCTTGTACAGTGTTAGTGCAGTGAATTTGATACCGGTGCAATGTCAAATCATATTATACGTCGTGTCCAAAATATGTCTTTCTTATATGATCCTGATTAACTATGTCGTTTACAAATGGAATTTCTAGGAGCTTTCAAGTGAGACATTGCACGAAAAAAAAATATCGGCCCACGTCAAGCAATCAAATAATTAATTTCAACTTTCGAATTAAGAGCGTGACGCTTCTAATTCGTTTTGAATAGTATGCACAATTTCAGAACTGGAGCGCGCAATTTAAAACCAACTTTTCTAACTGTGTAAAGGCCTGCCAAAGCAAACAAGCAAATTTATTTGTTACAGGAAATTATAGTCCTTTAAATTTCGTTCGGGAAGAAAATCGAAATTCAATTTGAAAAACCATGTACGCCCTATATACCAACAGAATGTCAACATTTATGAAATTGTCTGCGCGACGATGCAGTATTTTTTGTTCTTCATTTTACCGATATTTATTCTAAGCGCCTATTTTTACCCACCCCAGGGCAGAAGCATAGCAGAGGGGGTTGGGGTTGCACAGTGGCAAATTGCAACGGGATGCATAATTAAGAGTGAGCCATTGGGCCGGCGACATCGGCCTGTCGGAAAAAAAGTGTTTCACGTCCATCTGAAGGGATGAAGAGCGCCATCTACTGTCCGAGAGTGTCCATGAGTGTCTGCTTTTAACAGCGCCGCTAATGTATGCAATAAACTGCCATGTAGACCCCAATGATAAATGCCAGAAAGTCAGGAAAAATACTCACAATTTACTCTCGAGACACACATCAAAATTATAGCTTATTTTTATCATCTTTCCTTCACTATTAATTTTTTTTGGGGGGGGGTAATCTGATCACACAAAAATGAAATGAGATGCAGTCACTCCAAAATCAATTTAGAATTACATTTAATCATCACTTTTCTAAATAATCCAGATCACAATAAAATGGCAAACAAGCGCACTGAGGCTGAAAGAGAAGACAAACTTTTTTATTACGTTATTTCTATGATCGATGTATGTGTGGTACACAATAAGTTTACTAACTGGACTCAAAACGTAAAGATATAACATGTATGACCCTAATGGGACCCTTGTTGTAGAGCAAATAAGTGAAATTCATTCACGCGAAGTGTTTTATGCAAGCGCACAATGATAAACTCTTCAACATAAAACCTTTGCAAAAGGGTCAACATTAAACTGTTCATGGCCAGTGTACAAGGAGTCTCTTTGGTTATTTCAGACAAATTCAATTCAGTGACAGACATGGAATAAAACAAAGGAGCGGATCATGAACCAGTACCTAAGGTCTGATAACAAAGACTGTGTAGTTTGTAATGCTGTTGCTTCTGCTGGATACAATGCCAACACCTCCAGATGGTGGTTATAACGCATAGGTAGGCCTAATGGCTGCGGTGTGGGAGGACTGTGGGGACAAAATACAATCATGGTCATTCTGTTGTACCCAGTAGCGAATCCAGGTTTTAGGTCCAGGGATGCATAAAAAGAGTAATGTTATTGAGGAAAAATGGTCCCAATTCCTTTTCGTTCGCGAAATGGTAAAAAGCGCGCAGGGTATACGGTAGCGATTGAGGGGTTGACACTTTCATATACTCTTAAACCAGGCAATGTCGCCAGGGGCGCGCAAGTTCCCCCAGTCCCCCCCCCCCCCCCCCATCCCCTCCATCTGGGTACGCCACTGGTTGTGCCAGTGCTGCCGACTCACCAGGTATAGTTAAAGACCATTATGTCTTCGAGAAATTTACGCGATTACGATCGTTTAGCCCTTTGTTTCTGTATAGATTATCTACAGAGCCATCGATCTTAAACGAAGGGGAGGGGGACAAGCCAAAGTCAGAAACAACTTTTATCGGCATGGTCATTGTCTGACTTTGTTGTAATGCAGGCAGTTTTGAGATAAGTCAGTTCCAGGTTTTCGAGGAGTTGCCTTCCAACTCACTTCATTACATGCATTACAACGATGAACCTTTGGGTAATTTGCTGCTAGTGTTTACGGCTTCCACAACTGACAATATCGAGCTTTAAATCTTTGGTGGATTTAATGACAGTTCCATGTCAAAACGCTTCAATGGAACTATAAGGCCGCGTCCGAAATGAATGAACGGCTGGCAGTAACACGCGCTTATGGGAGTCGAATTCGCCCACTTTCATAAGCACATGCGTACTTGCCGGCCGCAGCCAAGTAATGGACCGATCCAGTAAGCTCCGCCCAGTGCGCACGTGGGCAAATTAACACGTGGTCCGCTCCATTGCCACGCTGCATTTTCCTTCCGCGCGCATCATACGCGCGTGCACGCAATGTCGGACTTTAGTGCACGCACGTCGGACATAAATCACGGCTGTGATTGGTCAAAACACCATGGGGCGGTGCTTACTGGATCGGTCCATTGGGACGCCGCTCAAGAGGGGAAGGGAGGAAGTACACATTTTTTTCATGAAATTTAAAAAACAGCATTCACCAATATACATTTTCTTTACTCATTAATTAAAAAGTGTCGCATTTAAACTTATGTAATCCACTCAAGATTGCCAATAGAACTTTTCACAGTTATTATAAAGCTCGACCCGAATAACGTCAGAAGCTCATGTCCTTCACAACTAGTATATTTAGCCCCGTCTACACAATTAATGATAATATCAAACTCCGTCAGTTTACAAAGAAATAATTTATCATCTTGATACTCCACACGGCGACCACTTTAGAGCAGTTGCCTCTGGCGGCCAGTTTAGTCCGCCGCATCCAGAAGTCCCGCTTCGCTGTCTCTTCGGATGGTCAATCCATTTCCTTTCATGTCCTGTTAGATAACGTAGAGAGAGCAAATGTATCCTTTTTTAATCAAATCGTTGAAAATTTAGCATGTTGATTATAATATTATGTTAAATAAATACTGTCTACTTTGCCAGAGATGTACAACACGTGAAGTGGACTCGAGTCTGACTCGAGTCACATGTTTGGTGACTCGGACTCACACTCGAGTCGATCGGACTCGGACTCGGACTTGACGCTTTGGACTCGCTTTTGACACTTAAAAGACTCGGACTTTGAACTCAGACTCAATGTTAGTGACCCGGACTCGACAGTAACATGCTCTTTTTAAAATTTAAATTGAAGGTTTTTCGTGCAAAATAATGTTTAAGTATTTGATACAGCAAATTGTATATTAATACGTATACCGTGCGTGTTCTTCCGTAGTTAGGCATCCATTGCAAAACCATTATGCCGCTCTCTACGTGCATGACTGTTAGAATGTTTGCTTTATTTTACCCGTGTACTGATGAGGGTTTTGTGTGTGTCAGGTTTGTTCTTGATTTTATTTTTAAGAGACTAGTGACTCGGACTCGAACTCGACCCAAATGACTCAGGAGTCGGACTCGGACTCGACACCTAGGACTCAGACTTGAGGTTAAGGACTCGAATGCAAGCCCACTCCATACAAAGCTAGCGCAATGTATCCATTACCATTATGTTGTACGCCTTTTAAGTTATCCTTCGTTTTATTGAGGTAGGCCTACTTTTGTATCTCTGTCAATCAGTTGTCGAGTATTTGTTGTTTTCCAAAGGTGACATGCACATGTGATCTCTATTAGGCATAAAGGCTGAAATCCGGTATTAGTTTGATTGTTTAATATGAGATCACGAATCAATCATGAGTCGGTCAACGATGTTAAAGGAAGCTTTTGTCAAGTGCATTGGTTTGAATAGCTTAATTGTGTCTTAAATGAAGACTGAAGGTATGGTCAGGACTGGACTACTCTGCATTTATAATTTGTTATTGAACTTGAAGCACGTTATAATAACAGTTTTTTCTCTGTTAAAAAAAACCCAAACGACCAAAACAACCAAAAACAACCCAACGATATTCGGCTCAGCATTTCGAGCATGGTGGTCACTTGCTTTTACCTCATCTAACCCTGATGCCGTACTGGAGTAGACTTGCTCGTAGCCTGCGCCCGTGTCGTAGTTGACGGTGGTGTTGTGCATGTACACGTCGTACCGCTTGGAGTATCTGGATTTGCGCACACGTATGTACACCACGATAGCGACCAAGGCTACCAGTACGAAGATGGCTACGAGAGCGCCCCCTATGGCACCAGCCGACGAAAAGGATGCGGGCTTGCCTGTACCTAGAAATGGGGAAGTATTTTACAATGGAGCGTGCAACTCTCGCGTTACTCATTTAATTTTCATTTTGGTTCGGTAGAGTCATGCGCTATTAGACCTAATAAAGTATCTACAAGGGTCTCGTAAAAAAAGCGTTTAACCCACTTTAGTTGTACCCGGTTTACTACCTTGGTGTAAAAAGGCCAAAAATCCGTCCGCCGAGCTCATCAATAAAAGTAATACACTAAAATGATTCTATAATTATGAGAGAGTTCTGAGAGCCATGAAATTGGTGAATTGAAGACATATGGCATGGCCTGGCCTTTGTGGATTCCAATTCTGAGCATTTTTTTGTGCAATTGAAAGCTGAATTGAAAGCGTGCCCGAATTGGTCTATACTCATAACGGTATCCAGCGGCACGCACAAACGAAACAGCTAGAGTCAGCTTTAATTACTGCAAGCAAAACCCACCTTGATCGTGATTGGTTTTCACAACCAGTGTCTGGGACCTGACCTCTCGGGTGAGCGTCCCGTTATCCCACAGCCCCAGCAGCTGCAGGTGGTACACTGTCCCCTGCGTCAGGTTCCCGACCACGGTGGACAGAGCTGTGGGTTCCACGATATCCGATAGGACTACCCGGCTGTCCTGGGCGTCCGTGACCATGAGGCGCCAGCCTATGATGTGCTGGGCTATTTCTACGGGAAGCATGGTCCACCGCACTGTGATGGAGTCCGTACTAATGGTTTCGGCTTCGATCTTGAAGGGCCGGCCAGGGTACGGCTTGGCTGTCATAGGACCGAAAAAAAGTACAAATTGGTGGTTTGTTGGTGGCTGTAAGTTTGCTTCAGTACATTTATAATCACATATACCTCCGAGACACGTATGTCTTCTCAATGGAAAGAAGAAACAAAAGTATTTTGAATAAAGAATGAAAATGTATGATAAATCTTCAATCATTTACCAGAAGCTTACCATCAGACGCTTCTCCCATCGATTGCAAGGTAAAACAAACAAAAAAAAGTAATTTTTATAATTGTTACGAAAAAAAAGAAAACGTGCAAACTGAGAACAATTCTTCTCAACTCACTGAAGATAACTTGCTTGTAAAAAAAAAACTTCATCGACACGATTTGTACAAAATTAATTACCTGCCCGTTTTTCTGTTTTAAATTTTGCAAAGAGATTGTTTAACTAAGGTTTTACTAAAGGAGGAGGAGTAAGGTACTTTATCTGTGCTAAAGACATTTCTTTGCAATATCACTTACACGGTCCTGCAATTGTTTAACCATTTTTTCAAGGATGGGTTTGAAAAGAAAACACGCTTCATTATGAAGAAATTAAGTTTGATAAAAACTCACACGGTATCCAAAGTGTGTCCACCTCCACTTTGTTTGACGGTAGGTGGATGGCAACGGTCGGGTCCCCGACGAGCACCACCAATTGCACAACGTAGCTTCGGGCTGGTCTCAGGTCCAGCATCGTGTAGCTTACCATCGAGGCTCTATTGGAAGCAGAGGTTAAAAGGCAGGTAAACTGATGCAATAGAAATTATTTGAATGAAGAGGAGCTAGGATTGGATGTCATTACGGATGTGAATGGTCGGACAATTTAGGAATAAAGCTAAACAGGTAGCCTATGCACTCTTAAAATCTAAAGAAAATTTGAAATTGTGTATATGGTCTTTTAATTTATCAAGCTCCCTCATGCGTTACTCACATCATTATTGCTCAACTCCTGGCTATGCATTTTGGGCATCCCCCTCCCAAAAAAGGCAGTACAATGTCCTCTAATTATCCAACAATTGAGGCCAATTCATTTCAGTTGTCGAGTAGAATGACATTACACATGATTTTAAAATACAGGATATTCATCAAGATTTCTTTTAACAGAAAAAAACATCACAGCTAATGATGACCACTTCACATACAACAGACAAATTTGATCAAAAATGATGAACAAAAAATGTATTAGACAAACTACTTAACATTCGACAAAATACATGTAGTTAATCAAATATTCACTAATTCAAATGGGACAAAAAGTGATGTGATTTCTGACAGAACATCTTGATGCCATCCCGATGAGGTTGTCCAAAGATCTCACTTAGGAGAATATTCCAAACAGGGTTTATTTAGTGGCAGGCAGGAAGGATCTGTCATGCAAAGACCAGTGACCAGATCCTGTCCTTATGGAGAAACGGAGAAACGCCAGTACAAAAACTTAAGGGAGGGAGAAAACCACACTTGCTGTCTGGTATTGGTCACCCCTCCTACTTTCCAAGATCTGCTTACTATGCCCTTCAGACTTTCACAATTTCCGTCTTTGAATGGGTAAGCTACTTAGAGTAGCTTAGCCAGGGCCACGTTACCTAAGTTCAACGGTTGTGGCCCAATCCTTCACGCCATATGACAGCTCCTTGTACTTGAGACGGAAGCGAGCTATATACCGGCGCTGGACGTCCGTCATCGGGGGCCAGGAGATGGTGGCCTGATAGGCCGAGATTTCCTTGGCAGTGATGTTCATCTGGAAGGAGGACAGGGGGACGGAAAGAGAGGGGATGGGTCCGTGGGCTGGCTGCGGCGCTGAGGGAAGAATTAAAAGAAACAGGGCGGCTAAATGAAATTACGTATGGTAAAGGCTGTCAGTTTGACGTGAAATGTCCAAACGAGCAGAGAGTCTGTGGGTAGTGGGTTTTAAAGTTAATTGGACCCATTTTCAAACATTAAAAATAATATTGCAAATAATGAAATATCTTACTTGATTATGAGTAAAATAGAATCAAGTATCCTGTGAAATCATTGCGAATGGTATGCTGTCCATTTCGAGAAGAGTTTATCATCAGTTTCTTGCAATGTTTAGGACGAAGCCAACGTGAGAATAGAATGACTGGGTTTTTTTCAATTACTGCCCCAAGTTAACTGAAATTAATGTAGTTTGCAGTCGATTACATATCCGTGAATGAGAATTATTTTACTTTGGTGACAAAGTGGGGATCAAAAGACCACAATTAGAGGGTGAAAGTCAAATTATGAGGTCTACTCAGCTGAAATTTCAACAGCTCGGTTTTTCAATAACCTACTTCAGATATACAATTGATGTTCCTTGAATCGGCAAAAATACATATTTGTCTTGCAAATGGTGTCCAATAGCTCTGTAGAAATTTGATGTTTGCCGAATGTAAACTTGTGTCTGCTACGAATCAGTTCTTAAAATAATTACTCGGGACCTTTGAAGAAGCAAAAATGAAAACACTTTTCATTCCTGGGGTTTAAGTTTTTGAATGCAAAAGGAAATCTGGACATCATAGCTTTTTAATTGTCTAAATCGCAACCCTTTTCAATCTCCAATACATTTATTTCCACTACCTTCGCTACAAACTCCCTTTGTGACGCTTGAGGGCGCCCCTCCCCTAACGCAATGGAAAATGTATGACTATGAGATATGGACTCACTATCATAGCACAGCCACTCCTTGCAGCATGTGTCTGGTACGCTGACTTGAACTGGGTAGGGACAGTCAGATGTGGCCGCTGGGGGCGTGGTGCTACACAGATTGTGACACGAGACTTCCCCCGAGTCACACGAACAGCGCAGATCGCATCCCTGACGCCACTGCATGCCATTTAAGTATATATTGCCACCATGCGAACAGTCACCATCTTGTAGCAAAAAGAAGAAGAAACACTAAGGCTGAAAATACTGTGTCATCTAAGGAAGATAATGTTCCATCGTCCAGTACAGAGTGTGAAGGATAGAATTATTCGAATCCAAAAGTCCTGAAATGTTCCTGCCTTGAATGTAGGGGAGAGACACACCAATGGACGCTTGGGGCGCTACTCATGTTGAAACTATGTACACAATCAATATACGAGTAAGTGTTGTAGGGTATGTATTTCTCCGTTAGTTTTTCTGCATGAAGCGGATCCACGCGAGGTTGAGGCAAGCAAACATGATTTTCAATAATTATGAAACTTGTAAAACACACCAAAGACAACAAGAAGTTGTTTACGACTGCTCGCGAGAGGCACATACCATAAAGGGGCGTTTCAAAAATATGAAGTAAAAAAGTTGAACAAAATCGTTGTAATTTCTGTTTTATTTGTTTCCACTCTTCGACCGAAAAAAGTATTTATGAATAGGAATAATTTGTGCTTGGCCGGTATTAAACAAGTCTGTTTAAGACCGGCTGCGGGCCTGGTCGCTAATAACATCGCTCGCCTTCGGCTCGAGCTATCATCAGCCGGTCTTAAACGGACTTGTGTACAACCGGTCAAGCACATGTGTATTCACTTATTTGAAAAAAAAAATTCTGTCAACATTAGACTCTTCTTGCCGGCCAAACTGGTAAAAATATTAGCCAATTGTCCTTCCTTTTAAACGCTTGTGCACCCATTCAGAAAATATCAACAATCAAGAGTATTTCTTGATTCCAAATATACTTGGACTATAATATAAGGAGAGATTGAAATACAGCCTTATCTGAAGCAGATAAGATACTTGTTATCACTCGAAAGGTGAGCAACCTTGACATCGGTTCTTTTAAAAGCTCCAGTGAGACCTCTTACTGTGAGTAGGCCTACCTTTGAGAAATGGAATGGGTTATGAGACAGGCCTATCAGTCAATCCGGACTGTCGCAAAACAATCCTCAAATTGTAAAAACACCTAGATAGATTTGACTACCAAACAGTCAGTCCTGCACCTAGCAGACTACAGAGAGGGTCAGCTGGGAGCAAGTTTGACTGTTTTCTAGTCAAATTTCATTAGAGTGTTTCAGAGTACACTGTACTTAAAAGTCAAGGTGAATTGCGGCTTTCGTAGAACTCGCCTCTCAACAAGTCACCCAAAATCCATGTGTTTCTTAACCGCAGCAATTCTCATGACAAATCCCCAGCGTCATATTCGTGGAACTAGCCCTGCAGGACACACCTGGTGATTCTTAACTTTCTAACCCGCAGGGCTCCTTGATTAAACTTGTAATGACGAGATCATCCATAATAACTGGACGACCTTCTTCGCTCGGCGCACTGACTTTTCAAATTAGCTTTTCGCTGCTTGTAAAGGCCCAGTTTGATTGATACGGTAAAACAGTTCTTTCTTCATATAGAGTGCGTTAACAAATTGAAAACATCATTTAAAAAATAGTAAAAATCCACGTCCTTTTCCTTTCTCTATTACCTTTGCCGATTGATTCCTGGTTTTACATTTTGATCAAGCACCTCAATTCCAAATTCGCTTCGCACATAATTTGCTATGCACCAAAACAAAATTGATCAGCTAAAGTTATCGGCAAAAATTCCATTCGCTATACACTGTCGGAAGGGTTCTCAGCTGATCTGTGCTGTGCACACACATTGTGAGCAATATAGCCTGCATGGGACTTATTAAGCGGCTAGAAATTGTGATACATTGCAAATTACAAAGCCCTTGGAGATATCAGAACTGATGACACACACTACCGGTCTAGAATCGTGGAGCCGTTAAGCACAAAATATTGCTGAGCAAATGTACGTGCTGAGCAAAAATCAGCTGAGAGCAAGTGCTTAGCACTGGCTCGAATCTGGACCTTGCAAAGCTGCAAACCTTTTGGTAGACATCTCCACTCTGGACAGCACTGGCCCTCCACGACCACTCGCTGGGGGTTTGGGCAGACGTAGGACGGCAGCAGCTCCGTTACCGGGCACCGCTCACGGCATATTGTCCTACCGGCCTTGCACTCGCACGAAGACTCGCAGCCGTCGTAGAAGCGCTCGCTGTGCTGGTAGACCTGGCTCTTGTACGTGCAGGGCTGTGCTACGTGAAAAGATCGGGAAGGGAGAACTAGGTTTTGTTGCCTTAAGATTCGAGCAGTTGCCCTAAGAATAGTGAAGAGTAGGTAACAGTTCGAATGGTTTGACAATATACTGAAGTCTTGAACATATAGCAAATTGCCGACTGCTGTGCGGTTTCATAAGCTATCTTTTAAAGGCACAAGAATCTATTGCATAATATTTACACCTAACGAAAACAACATTAACTGACACATTAGGGAGACATTTTGTTATAAGCTAGTTTACAATAGGGAGGCATTGGTCATTAGGAAGACATTTCAGTGTCTAGGGGCCTCCCTAATGCTTTAACTTCCACTTCTAGAACGAATTTTAATGTCGGCAAATGTTTAAAACGATTCATTAGGTCAAGAAAAGTACAATTAAAAAGTTTGGGAAGGGGGAGTATATGTATTTTCAAATAGGGTTACGGCAAGGTTTTTGTTTGTGAACAAGTCTATGAGAATGTCTCTACAACGAACCATTATTATTATTCTAATTATTTTTATCATTTTACGTTATTTCAAAGTAACATTTTTAAACGTTTTGGCACGATAACTGACCTTATTGGTGAAAATAAGCGGCAATTCGTGTAGAACTATACAGACGGCGCGCTTACTGACACTAAGCTCTGGGTTGTTTAGCTTCAAATCTGTGTTCGTATGTTGTTTTATTCCCATTGGACAGTTAAATTAAATTAAACTGCCATACAAATGCATGAAAACTCCAGGCAACGTACGAGCGTTTTCCACGGTGGTCACCACAATGGTGTCAGTAGCTGGGAGCGTGTTGGGCCATCTGGGCTCCATACGGTCTGGTATACTGACTCTGATCTGCAGATAGTATGTGGTCCGTCGGGACAAGCCTGTGATCTCAATAATGATATGGCCGCGGACTCGAATACCGGCTGGGAAATCCTGCAAATACAACATGAAGTTTTTTCTTTAAGGGTTTCGTAACTGTTATGCTAGAAAAATGCATCCCGATAGGCCTTACAAACAGGAAACCCATTCAAAAGAAATGAGGTTTATCCGTTGAAAGTCTTGATTATGAAGATAAATGTACAGATAGTTACGCAGGGCCACTATACTAACTGTGCAAAGAAATGTGCAAATAACTTAATTTGAGAAAGGTGGTCCACCCTATCTCGAGTTCATTCTCCTTTTCATCATTTTAGCCGAATACGCAGACGGCACGCTAAAAAGACACTATATTATTGCAGGTCAAAGCGTTTAATTTGATAGTAACTAAATTTGACAGTAACTTTGCCTGCCTCGTTCAACCTTTACCTTCAGTGACCCCGGTTCGAATCACCATAAGATTTCATAATTCTTTAAGCTTTAACATGGTTCTCTTTTTCCATGATTTAAACTGCCTTTACTGCCTTCTCTCCAGTGGTTTTTTTAGCTTTGGTACAAGTGTAACATCCACTTCTAAATTATCCTACGCTCATTTTCTAAGTTCCAAGCTCATTGTCCTATTTCAAGGAATCTTTCAAGGCTTTCTTAGCTTTAGTGCATCTGTTAAAACTAAGTGCCTAAAGTTCGAAGTGCCTTAAGACATAAAACGAATGACTGGTTTCTCGTGATTGCCAAGCCTACCTTTCGGTATTTTTTCCAGGTTTCGGGGTTGACGTTTTGAGCACTGTCCGTGTACTGGATGATATAACCGTCTAGACTGGAGAGCAGCTCGTCATTTGCCGGCGGGGCGAAGGCCACGGTGATGGATGTGTCGTTGAAAGAAAACACCGACACATCACGTACAACGTTAGGACTCTCTGGCATTCACAAAATTACAGTCAAAGTTTAAACTTGGTCAATTGCAGCACTACGGCAAACCAAAACAACAATCACATTTTACAACATGTATGGAAGATTGAATACGCAAATGTCATTAAAAACATTATTGGTTGGTAGCCATTTCTGCATATAATTGTTTTCGGACGTTTGGGGATGTTGTTGCACTATTCAAGAAATGTTACTTTGGTTTTGTTGCTACAAAATAGAAAGCTTTTTTTAGTAGGTTATGACATGAATGTCCAAAATAATGCAATTAGTTACTAACAAACTCAAGTTGAACTTGGACTTTATTTCAAGACATATCGTTTGTGTAGGTCTTTGTATAATTCATGTTTGTGAACCCCAATTTGTTAAACTCCTACGTACACCCCTCGTCAGCATTCGTCCACTAATAGGGAGCAATGGAAACCGTTGGGAAAATTTGCCGATTACATCAACTTTTTTGTGGTTATTTCACTGGGCTCACAAATCTATCTCAACATTTTGATATGAAACGCCCATTGTCGAATGTCGGTAGTGTGCCCAAAAGGCCTATTCACTAACCACATAAAACGATGATTTAACAGGTAACTTTTTCGAGCGACTATAATGTCTCCCATACCCGCGCCATTTTGGTCCCTATTTTTTGTTGTCAGGTGTAACCACTCCGATCAACGAACTCACGCTGTTTGGGATCGTGGCAGGCAATCACCTCGCAGCAGTCCTCGCTCCGTAGCTTGGTGATGACCGGCGTGGGGCAGAGCGGCGTGGGCGACGGGGGAGAGGGCGAGACGCAGACCGGCATGCAGACCAAGCTGCCGTGGTCGCACAGGCACCGCTGGTCACAACCCTCGTCGATCCACTCACCGTTGGCCATGGTGATGTTACCCAGTGAGCCGAAGTAGACACAGTCCGTGGTCGCGGCTGTTGATGCAATGTTTTGGGTAATTTTTTGTCAGAGCATAAATAACATTTAATCACACCAGTACATTATGAGACGCCTAGCGGCACAACAGGCTGTTCATAGAGTCAGTAAAATCAGTAAAATAAGATTCAACTGACGAAAGAAAAATACTTCAGTGACCATGCCAAAAAACACTTTTCCCCTGCATCCTTTTAGTACGATTTCTCATTCACATTTTATGCATAATGGGTGAAGTAAAAACTATGCTATGTCCTGGTTTGGCATGGGATATCCGATATGTTTCAAAATAAAGTTATTCGTAATATCAAACAAATATTAACAGAGTGTGCTAATCAAAAACAAACGAACGAAAAGAAATCAACTCCAGGTAGAAAAAGAGAGTATGAACCACCTTTACATGTATATGTAACTCATGAAGGCATTTTCGACAGATTATTTGACTTGAAAATCCCAAACCTGTATTTAAGTTTAACTGTTGGAACATAAGTTATTGGCAAGGTCGTGTTCAGGAAATCCAGTCTGCGTTAAGTAGGCTATACGTCCACAAAAACACCAGAATTCCGAGGCTCATTTCTTTGAGTGGGACCGCTTGTCATTTTTGTGTGGCCCATGAGAGCTCTTTCTACATCTCCCCCACATTTTTGCCGTACGTGCCAGCTTTTTGACGCGGGCTTATATTTCAAATAATGACATTACTCAATAGTCGGCCGCAGGAACCACGGAGTGGAATGGCGTGGTTATACCGGGGACTAGCGGTATTGGGTCCCGGGAGATAGTGTGATTGATCGGCGGATGTGCGCACTCTGCCTTGAACCCGCAGATCGGCTTTTCGTCCCGGTGCAGATTGTTTTTCTGTCCATGGAGATTTATACTAGGAATGTTTCGGCAATATGTCACAATCGGATTTTGCATTTCATGTCTTTTATCATTATTTTCCTAGCCAAGTATGACAGCTGAGCGGGTCTTTCAAGGTTAACGCTAGGCACCAGACCGGTGGGGAAAAGTAAAGAAGGAAGGATAAATTAAATAATGAACATTTTCTTGCGTTGTTTACATTTGATAACCAAGGTTATATACAGAAAATTGTACAATACGTAAAATCGCTAATCATGACCAGTCATATGTACCATGGTTTCATCATGATTACCCGTAAAATGCCCAGCAAAAACACATGGAATCGTTGAGGCGTCATTGATTATTAAATAATTATGGCTGCCGGCCACATCGACCCATATATGACCACGGAGCACAGCCTGAGATCGGCCCGGAGAAAAACCATCGTGGCACAGGAGAGAACCAACGCACAACTCTACTCACATGTGATCCGCGGCCAGGATTCCAACCATGGTCACCTTGGTGAGAGGCGAGCGCTTTACGCACATGCACAGGCCACCCATGCCGTCCACACGCAAAATACGATTCCAACAGGAGTATAAGAGGTGAAAGGCATAGTTCCTTAACGTCAACCTCAACGTCAAGATTCAACTTCCATAAGGTGCATTAACATCAGAGATAAATTAACCAAAATTCTACATCTAGGATCACAAGTCATACACTTCGCCTTATATGATATATCTAGCCAATTCGACTACCCATCGTCGTTAAGCGAGGCTTGTACATCACAAAGCCACGTTAGAAGCGCGGCGGTAATATATATGCTATGCGCCCTCGGATGTTACCGGCATGCATGTCACGTGGTTTTTTGACGTTAAAGCCTGGCATTATTAAGGACAGTGGAAAGTTGGATCGGGTGGTATATCTTACGTTTTCAGAGATGTTGGTGTACAGTATGTTGGGGAGAATAAAAAGTTCCAAAAAGCAATTCCATGGTTAACCAATCGGCTGCCAGCATCAAGAGACTGGATACCCCATTGGTCACCTCTTTAACATTCCAGACTATTCTATTTCTGGTATATTACAGGGCATAGAATTGTTTTGCCATTGCAAGGACTCAGTTCAATGGGAGAAAGTGCGGATGAAGCGTATTCGGACTATTCTACCACATCCAGGGAGGGACAAAAACAATATCTCAATATTTCTATGGTCATTCATCTTCCAACCAACTCTCTTTGGGAAGTTACCCCTTCTTTGTTGTTCCACTTCGATTTTTTTTTCTGCTCTAAGAGTTCACTTGCCCCACTGCCTTATTCTCTGTAATGATTTTCTATGGAAGAAAATACTAGTCAAGCTCAACCCGAAAGTCTCAGCAAGGGCGGATCCGGGGGAGGGGGAAACGGCGGCCATGCCCCCCAAAAAACCGAACGCAATTTGTTTATTAAAGTGACGTCGCAATAAAGGCAGGCACTTCGTGCACCACCATCTTTTCCTTTAAAAAAAATGGTAAAAGTGGTCAGAAATTGCCTCAGATCGCACCACAGAGCATCTATAGAATCCAACAAACTTCGAGGCCCTTAAGCGGGCCCCGAACCCCACTCGTTGTAATTTTCGGAGCCACTTTTTTTGGGGGAAATATTTTAGCCCCCCCCCCCCCATAAAAAAAACCACAAAATTGAGTTTTGGATCCACCCTTGAGTCTCAGTTTAGGACATATATTGTATTTTCTGTTGGTTTTTTTTGTGGGTATTTTTTCGAGAGTGAAATTCACTCAAGTCTAACTGAAACCAAGGGCAAGACGCATAGCGGGAATTTGATTCAATCGAATAGATTGAGTTTCCATTGATGTATTTTATCAAACCTTTTCCGATCAACGCCAGTTTTCATTCTAAATTGCTAAGATCCTGGGTATTAAGTGGGTGACAAAGTGAAATTTCACTCTGGAAAAACATATTGAGAGTACTCAGTGGCTCAGTCAACTCATTGTGTCTGTAAATTGACTCGGTCAGTCAGAGGCGGTAGGTTTTCGCCTTTGGATTCTACACAATTTTGGCACTCACAGGCGGTTGGGCATTCCCACTGCATGCAGCACTCGCCGGGTACCTGGACCTGCTTGGGCTCCGGGCAGTCCTCAGTGGGCGCGCGGAAGTCGTAGGGACACCGGGACAAGCACGCCACGTAGTTGGCCTTACACTGGCAACGCATGCTGCAGCCGATGTCGAAGTATTCGTCCTCCTCGTACGTGTTGCCGTTCATCTCGCAAGAGCCCGCTACAGATAACACAGAGAAAAACCAAGGGAGTAGTGTTATAAACCGGTTATCATCATGTGGAAGAGCTTGTGTCAGAGTCGATCATGTTAAACCATCACGGCATCATGAAATAAAAATTGCAAATGCGCACACGGGGAAGAACTATGTGAGAATGCTGCTGCATACCAGTTACTGATTGGATTGACCTGAAATCTAAATGGTAAAAGGGTGTTTTTCATCCTATCCGGATCTTTCCTAAGAACACTGTGTCATTTTATGGACTGCAAATTAAGATTTTATTTGCACATAAAATGAAAGAGCTCCCGGTGCAGGTAGAATTCAAATATGTTAATGTTACAGACTTCTCATCCATTATATGCCTAATATTGCTCCAAGAGCGCGAATTTTGTGCCGGTGGAGTAGGGCCTATGAAACACAACCATTGTTTCCTATAGGGCATACGAAACACTTAACCCAGACCTGTTTAAACAACATACTAGTGATGGCCTAGTCAAAGTACTGACCTTTTTTCTAGTTCGTGAAAACTGATGTGAGATCTCATAGCTAAGGAAAATGCTACAATCGTTTCAGCTCTGACTTGATTAACATTCACGGTAGATTTCCAATCAATTCTGGAAAAAAGGCACCTAAGTATTTTGATTGATGTTCAGTTGCATCCAACTGACCCTCATACACCGAAATGTCTGTTAGTCATATCAGACTACAATAAAATATTTTCTTTTTTTTCGGAGGGGTGTGCTTTTGAGCAAAATTCAACAAGAATCACTCGGGAGGTATACTCACGAGGCGGCGGGCATGTCCAGTAGGGGCAGCATTCGCCGTCCGGCGGGGTGTTCAGCTGGGGCTGCGGGCAAGACGAACTGTCCGGTAGCATGGAGCCTGCCTCCGGACAGCGCTGTGTGCATGACTCCACGCCATTATCGCAGTGACATACCTCCTCGCAGCCGAGGTAATAGGTCTCACCGTGGCGATGAACCACATCATTGCGGGTACAGTCAGCTTGATGGTGGAGGGGGAATTAAAAGAGTTTGCAGAATACATGATGTATGAGACAAGCCACCTGCCTGAACTCCCTTTACACATTCTTTGTCACAATATTGAACATCTTATGAAATCGATTCAACGGGTAGACCTAGCCTATACGCTTTTCTAAACCACAGCTATATCTGCATTGCCATGAATGCAGGAGTTTGGTAAGCCTATTATGGTACGTGGACTCCAATAATATATGGCAACGTTTCATGCAATTCAAATTGGTTATGGCATTTAGGGAAAAGCAGTAAAATGGTTTAGTTCTTGAGCCAGAGATGAAAACCTCCGTGTCTCTCAGGCATCGTCAAACGCGTCACCTGCTGGAGTGACATCGGCGGGTTGGACTGTAAAGTTGATTCTCGAACACCCGAATCTATATCAGTTGAATGTCACTAAAATGCCACCTTTGAATAGCTACAATAACTTAATCGACTGGCCTCGGAGGCGTTGCTCCTTAGAGATAGTGTGGGGTTATTATCGTTCATCGTTCTTGTGAAAAAGATCATGTCTACTCCCGTCCACCTAATGATGTCAACCCATCCCCTTGACAAATCTCCGGCCGTCGGCAAATTAAAACTGCTTTCTGGCTTCGTTATTGCCAGTCGTGGTCTGTCGGCCATATTGTACTTACACCTTACCCCTAAAATTAGTCTAGCGACGGCCATGCTTATAAAACTATTAATCAAACCACAGAGAACCTTTCACAATGGCGACCCTCTGAATGGCCTGGATGCTTTCTTCTGCAAACGGGTACAGTCACTTATAATAATACGCATGCGTGAGACATATCATGTGATTGAAATAACATATCACATGATTTCAGATAATTTATAAGGTTTTGATTTCGGGTCTAGTGGTTTAGAATGGTGTCCTTCGAGGTACGAGTCCTGTAGGCAAGATTCCCCAACCCCAACCCCTTAGGATTTTCTTCCCCCCCCCCAAAAAAAAAATCCCCCCCCAAAAGTGAATTTTCTTTTCTTTCTTTTAATCTATTTAATTTCACCAGATCAGATGCATGCCCCATGGAGGATTTTCAGAGAACCATTTCGTATGGGCGTTATGGTCAGTGACTATACTTAGTTGCAGAAAAAAAAGTGAATGATACCTGGATTCAATGGTTCAGATGGTCCCTCATCGCACTCGATCATCTGACAGCAGTGTGGGTCGTCAGGGTGTGGGACTTCACGGCAATTGATCGGGTTGTACAGTACCACGTCGGGAGAGGGCGGGCAACTCCTGGGCCTACATATCCAACGGCCTAGCAGGCAATCGCACACGGTGTCGCAGCTTTGCTGGATGGTTTGGCCCTCGTCGTAATGCGTGGCATCGTGCTCACAGCCTCCCGTCGGTGCTAGATACACAAACAATTCAAAATATGATTGCCTTTTAGTCACATGGCCTAAATAACTGGGTAAATGTACAACAATCCAACAATATACGCCTGTCTTTGGATAGACTGTTGATGCCCAAGGGCAGATCCGGGGGGGGGGACGAACCCCCGTTTTTAAGTGACGTCGCAATAAAGGCAGGCACTGCGCACACCACCATCCTTTCCTCGAAAAGATTTGGTTAAAGTGGTCAGAAAGTGCCTCAGATCGCACCAAAGAGCATCCAGAATCCGTATCTAGAATTCGTATATACAAAAAGTTTTGTTTTGTGGATCCGCACTTGTTGATGCCTCGTATTCATTCCAGGGCGTTGGTAATTTTTACGCTTAACCCGATGCAACATCCATATCCGGTGCCGTCCTCTGACAGTAGGTGGCAGCCAACTTTGCAGTGCATCACCAGGATTGGCGATCTTGGGCACGTCAAACTGCTGTGTGGATGATGAGTCCGGTCCAGTCCTTGATGTTGTCTCCCCAGGTTGCTTTGGGTCGGCCTCTTGATCTTTTCCCCTCTAATTTGCCTTGAAATTTGGCTAGAATCGATGCATTTGTCCTTCTTTCTGTCCATGCCACTTGCAAGATAAGGCGGTAGCACCGCCTCAAAGGAGTTTATTCTTTGAGTATCTGGGGTTTTAAATTAATTTTCCATGCTTCGCATCTATAATTATAACTAACTGGGAATATAAGTCAATGTAGGAGTCTGGATTTGGTTTTGATTGAAAGAGATTTCATTTTCAGAGATGTCTGGATGTTTGTTAACATTGCTCCTGCAAGTGCCAGTCTTTTCTTGAAATCCATGATACACATATGAATGCTCAACTTAAGTTTAATATCAATCAAGGAACGTGGCCACGTGGCCTAATGGATAAGGCGTCCGACTTCGGATCGGAAGATTGAGGGTTCGAATCCCTTCGTGGTCAGAATTCATTTTTGGTGTGTAAAACACTCGTGTTGTATTATATTTCAGTTCAACATAAGTCAATATAAATACATTCCAAGGCCAAACATTCGAATGTCCTTGAGGCGAATTGAACATCTTTTTGCAGACTTCAAATCCTTGTCATCCTTAAGTTTTAGGCTGACATTCCCTTTGTAAGAAAAAGTAACAGTTACGTTTATTTAAAATAAAATAAATAGCTTTGTAATACCTGGAGTACCCGTCTGGTGTAGCGCCACTTCCGACAACGGTCCCTCCATAACGATACCCCGTCTGGGGAGTCTGTAGCTGACCCGGAAGTAATAAGCCAACCCCTTCTGTAGGTCACGTATGGAGGCGAATGTAGCATTGCCTACCTGTAAATATCAGGAGGGGGAAAGGGGGCAACTAAGTCAGTGGTATCAGAGAATTAAAGTGTTAACACCGTGTTATATCATATATATGTTTTCGAGCAAGGAACTATATCCCCTTTGGTTGGAATTTTCTGTAACTAGTTGGTTCCTGCTATAGTGAAGTGTATAAATGAAAAAAGGAGAGGGACACGCCCCAGCCTCTGCTTGAGGATTGTGCCGCCCGTGTGCCCCTGCTAAAATTGTTTTATATCTTAACTAAACCCATTAAGTGTCTCCTCCAAGTACGAGTGCACAATAAGCTCTCTGGTCGTGTTGCAAGAAGTCTTGTATGAAAGTCTTGCATAAAATCGATCAAAGTGATCACTGCCAGAGCTTAAAACTGCGCCGCCGAAAAATGCGACGCCGATGGCACATATGGCACACCATACTTTTTGTCAATTTTCCGGGACAGATAGACAGACACCACGACAGACAGACAGACAGGCAGACAAACAGACCACATGTGGAAGCTCCTGCTAGTGCTTAAAAAGAGGACCTCAGGTGCCTTGATTCCAAGCTTTGTTTATGATCACGCAAGCTATATGATTGCAAGTGAACAAATGAATGTAAAGAAAGAAAGGAAGTTCAATTGATCGGTAACGCTTTGGAGCTGGCCATAATACATTGCGCGCAATCTGGAATGCCTTTCACCTGTTCAGGTGCATCTGCGAAATCGCTTAGGCATTTGTCAACTCGACTCCCCTTGGAGACAGATGAGATGCCAGCCCTTAAATATTCCAAATATTAATCCTTGAACATTAGACAACAAAACTGAATGGTCGTCCGAGGAATTGAAACTCAATCTGCTGCACCATTATATTTTTCTGTTGGCATGATTATTTGTCTGGTGGGGAATCAACATGCCAGATGGGTGAGTGACAGATGAGCGGTGCCTGAATTTAGCGCGTATGCATTATCTACAGTATCTGATGAAGATTGGGAAAATTACTAATGCCAAGGGTGTTCCAGGAACTTAGTGTACTTTTTGAAGTTACAATGAGTCATCGTGCGGGTGTAAACTATTGAAGGCTTTTAATAATATTTCTCGTTTTGGTGACTAGTTCAAGAAAACCAACTGCAAAAACATAGTTTTTCCACATCTCAAGGTGGGTGCTTACACTGACGACGTTTCTATGGGGACCAATAACCACTACAATTACGAAATATATTGAAAAGAAGTAATAATTCAAGAAAGATTTCTTCGAAAGACTAAAAAGAAGACTATATCAGAGCCGACGCAACAATATCAGAGCCCCGCGACTACGAACTTGCAGGTCTTAAATCATGTAGGCCTACTCCCAAAAAATTTCAATGGCGTGTTTGGGGACATTCTATGGGCAAAAGAATTTAGCTCAAGTTAGCGTGATGTATCCCCAGAAAAACATATGCAGACAAAATGTGTTGAGTAGCAGGCAGACATTTATGGTACATTACGGAGACATTGGTCATTAGGGAGACACTGGTCATTAGGGAGACATGTTTGTTTCTCCCCAGTGATTTAACTGAATTTCTAGAACAAACTGTTCTGCCGCAAAATGCTTAAAAAGATTCCTTAGGTCGAGAATATTATAATAAAAATAATTGGGGAGGGGGGTTATTTCCCAATGCGGTTATAGGAGGGTTTTTGTTGGGTTTTGTTTATGCATAACTCAATGGGATTGTCACCCTAAGGTACCATTTATATATTAATATTTATAATTATCATAACCCCTTCACATATGCATGACAATAATAAAGTTTTTATATACATGTTTTATCCTAAGCTGAACCTGTATTGTAGGACGACAAATTCTCTCGAATTTTTTTCTTTCTTCCGAAAAAAAACTTCGTAAAAATAAACTAATATTTGCATATTAAAGTTTGCATGAGCTGCCTGACCTCGATAACTCCAGGCCATCCGGATATAGTCTCCGTATACTGGCTTGTGAAATACACCACGTAATGTCCTCCGTCACTGCCGGCTGGAAGAAAGGCATCCCAGCTCAGGTTGATGGAGGTCGCGGAGGCACTTCGGATCTGCACATTCATTGGACCTGTGATGACGAAATCGAAATGAATATTCATTAGGACACACTTTGATCCAAATTGGTGGGGATTTCAACCACGGATCCTACACACAAGGATAAACGACTCGGCCCAACTCCTGGTTAGACGAGTGATAACGGCCTGTACTGGTGGCAAATACTTTTCAACAAAGACCACTGCGCGCGGTGGCTTTCAGATTTGCAAGGCTCTATGCCCGATCTGGCCTCGAAGTCTGTCAAGCCAGCGAATTATATTTTTGAATATTCATGAGTCTACGTTTTTGGTCTTTATTATTGAATTCTGATAAGTGATAACTACATAACCATGGTAATGCCGGGCACAATATCTTTAGCTTTAAGATGAACAATGAAATGTCGCTTTTGTTTCATCGGTTCGGCATCCTATCTCTCTAAAACTTTTTAATAAAAGCCTAATTAAAAACGAAATTTGGGTAAACGGTGTTCTCCTCGAAATTTGACGTTTATTTCCCGGGTAAATACTTCATCTATGACGACAAAAACTGCACAATACCATCTGTTATATCCTGAAGTATTTATTTTAAAAATAATTTGGAACAATTGTATCTTAAATAAGAAGTAGTTTTACTTAGCCTACAGTTTTATGAATATTTCCGTTTTAGATGTCGTGCAAAAACCCAACACGATGGCACATCTGGAAAATTCGCGATTACGCGCAAACGGGTATTAATGCCCGTTATCACGCGTCTAACCAATTAAGGCAAGTCCACTGGGTGCATTTTGTACTGGAGCTCAGAACAGTCGTTTATCCTGGTGTCTAGGATCCGTGTTTCAACCAATGTACATGTACATATTTATTAATGTGCACTGTACTGTTCAAAATGATGTAAAGCTCTATAAGATATTGCTTGTTTGTCGCGCCTGTTTCACGTATTGCAAGTTTTTCCAACAGAGTATTGCGGGAATGGGCGTATAATATACGCTTATGGACATTGTGTTTGTGTGGATATACATAAATGTTTGAACAGCTCCGCCAGAGTAAGATCCCTCCCCTACTTTACTGATTCCCCCATCTGCTGCAGTACCCCATCCCTTCCTCTTCAATGTTAACAAGATATCGCCGCTGCTGGTTTTGTGCGTCCAACGCAAACAAGTCTATAGTTCACTAGATCTTGTGGTGGATATAACTAGTTTACAACTGCCCAATTGCATCTTCATGTCATCATACAACTTGCAAAGGCTTGAATTTAAACAACACTTCACTTTTCTTTAAAATGTTGTGTTAAAAAAGCCAAAACATCAATTTTGTATTAAAAAAAAGGTCCCACCGAGATTTGAACTCGGATCGCGAGATTCAAAGTCTCGAGTGCTAACCATTACACCATGGGGCCATGTTAAGGACTTCACATTAACCATTACATGAACTTAGCTGCAAGTAAATGTAAGAGGCCCACGTCTCGAGTGCTAACCATTACACCATGGGACCATGTTAAAGACTCATGTCTCGCCCAAGTCTCGAGTGCTGACCATTACACCATGGGGCCACATTAAGGACTTCACATTAACCATAACATGAACCTAACTGTAAGTAATTTTAAGAGGCCCACGTCTCGCCCTTAATGTAGGACTACAATCGTAGATTGAAAAGTCAGGCCCAGAGTGAGCCCGTTTCATCCAATTGTGCATTTATTGTTTTGATGTTTTGTTTTTGTGTGGGGCTACCGGCATGGTATTTGACATTAATATTGTTGTGGGACTAGCACCATCACGGTTTGATTAGTCAGGCCCAGAGTGAGCCTGTCTCAAATTATATCTCGTCTTATTGTACATCTTACTGTGCATTTAATGTGTTGATGTTTTGATGTCTTGATTTTAATTGTGGGCCAGCTATCATGTATCTTTGATTTATTTATTTGTGTTACAATTTGTTTGATGTGGGACTAACATCATGGATTGGAAGGTTAGGCCCTGAGTGAGCCCGTCTCATCTTATAGTGCATGTAATGTTCTGAAGATTTTAATTGTGGAATTACCATGATGTATTTTGTATTAATTTCCATAATGGGACTACCTTCATAAATCGATAGTCAAGCACAGGGTGAGCCTGTTTTATCTTGTGCATTCTTTGGTATACTTATAATGTAATGTTTTGATGTCTTGATTCCTTATGCAAATTTGCTAATTTTTTTCTTTTTGCTGTCAATTAATCAATTTATCCATCCGTCTTTGGCGCTTGCGCTGTTGGATGATGTATGAAATAGATAAATAAATAAGAATTTCTGTTTAATTAAAAGATGTCAAACAACCCTTACTATAGACCTTTCTTTGTTTGTAAACACTGAGCGCCATTTTGCATGGGCTGCCACACGGGCATAAATTCAAGCCATGGTCGGCAAAAGAATTTGTAAGAAAGAGGCGGTTTTTTTTATAAGTCTTTGGTAGCGTTGGATGGTAATATCGTATTTTCAACTATCCACTGATATGTTTGGAAACATTAATAAATATTCTATATATTTGTAACGTTGACCTTTCATAAGTGCCAACCACGGTTTGACAAAGAAAGATATATATTCATGAAAAGACTTGCGGGGTCGCCGTGGTGCGCTGTCACAAAATGATTTCTCATGCGCATAAAGGAGGACTTACCCTCTGAAACTTTTATTTGAAAAGTTATTTAAAGGATTAAAAAAATCAGGTTCCACCGAGGTTTGAACTCGGATCGCGAAATTCAGAGTCTCGAGTGCTAACTATTACACCATGGGACCTATGGTATACACTGCCTAGCAAAATGGTACCTAACAAAAAGTGATTTAATAGGATTTTTTTTAAACCAGGTCCCACCGAGATTTGAACTCAGATCGCGACATTCAGAGTCTCGAGTGCATTTCACCATGGGACCTATGGAATACACTGCCTAGCAATATGGTACTTAACAAAAAAAGTGATTAAAAAAAAAGAACAGGTCCCACCGAGATTTGAACTCGGATCGCGAGATTCAGAGTCTCGAGTGCTAACCATTACACCATGGGACCTATGGAATACTCTGCCTAGCAAACTGGTACGTAACAACTCATGTTCAATTAAGCACACAAACCATTATGTTCAGGATGGTGAGACATTTACCATTCCCTCGGTAATCGCTACTGAATTGTTATCGCGTTTTTATTTTTTTTTGGCTGAATCCAAGGAACGTAAATATTTTCGTCTGCTTTATTTTACAATCTTTACTAAACTGCTACGCATAATGTATCCTGGAGGGAAGAAAACACACTCGTGAGTTTTTCGTGACCAAAAGTACTCTAAATACGTGAACTTCATTCAGGATTTAATTTCGATTGGTAACCATAACATGACGGGACATATGACCATTCAAATACGAAATGACCATGACGGCATACGCAATAGAACGCGGATATGATCACGGATTTATTAAAAAATTCAGATCAATAACAATACATGGGCGGAGCTTTCCAGGTGGCCGCGTGGCCTAATGGATAAGGCGTCCGACTTCGGATCGGAAGATTGAGGGTTCGAATCCCTTCGTGGTCGTGATTGGGGTTTTTTTCACACAGCATTGAATTTTATCACTTTAACGTAATACGCTCCAATTCATGAATTTGCGGGGTGGGACGCTTTCTCTGGACCCGCCCTAGTTACGCCCCTGTTTTGAATCTTTACTAAATTGTCAAATGTGAATATTTACAAAATTGATGTTTAGGTTTTTTTAATACAACATTTTAAAGAAAAGTGAAGTGTTGTTCATATTCTAGCCTTTGCAAGTTGGATGATGACATGAAGATGCAATTATGGTGTTGTGAAGCGATCACAAGATCTAGTGAACTGCTATCCTGGCGGAAAATAACACACCCGTGACCAAAAGTATATACTTGAACTTCAATCAGGATTAATTTCGATTGGTAACTGTAACATGACGGGACAAATGACCTTTCAAATACGAAATGACTTCGACGGCATACGCTATAAAACACGGATATAATCACGGATTTATTTTAAAAAATAATCAGACAAATGGGCGGAGCTTTTCAGGTGGCCGCGTGGCCTAATGGATAAGGCGTCCGACTTCGGATCGGAAGATTGAGGGTTCGAATCCCTTCGTGGTCGTGATTGTTTTTTTTCACACAGCATTGAATTTTATCACTTTAACGTAATAATACGCTCCAATTCATGAAGTTGCGGGGTGGGACGCTTTCTCTGGGCCCGCCCTGGTTACGCCCTTGTTTTGACTCTATCTACTAAATTGTCAAATGTGAATATTTGATTTTTTCCCGTCAATTTCAATTAATTAAACAAAACGAAAACGTGGGCAGCAAGGACATATTGGTAAGATGTTCTACTTCGGAGACGGTTTCCTCGGATTCCCTTCTTGTTTGCATGCTGGTTGCACTAGTACGTGTTTGCTGGTTGCACGATACCAAGGGGCCGTTAACGATCGAAGTTCAAGATTTGAACTCTTTATAATCCGTACTTAGAGAATGAAAGGATTGTGAGGGTGTCATTCTCTTTTCTTATCATTGAAGAAGCGCTTCACTTCTGTCATCATGTAGCAATGACTTAATTTCGACCGTGATGTCATCATGTGCTCGATTAAGTATAAACAAAAGCCCTTGCTGGAAGGGGGAAAGTCGCTCGCTGGAGTAATGAAAATAAAAAAGTCCAAACATACAAATCAGACAGAGTTTGGACAGTGACATTTTCAAATATGCACACCAGTTTTCATCGGTTGCTATGTATTTATTCAGCACTCCAGACTGAAGAACCGCTAAGTTTCTAGAACATATAGTATGGAAGCTAGATTAGCTAATGTCAAAAAAAATCCTGGATGTACAAAAAAGGCAGTCGCTCAAAAGAAAATCGTTGTAGTTTGCATATCATTTAAGGTGAATTGAAGGACTTTAAATTATTTAAAGTTCTTCAATTCACCTAAAACGATTAATAGTCTTGCTTGCTTTATTTTCTTCGCTTAACTACTACATAATTTATCCTGTCAAAACAGCCAATTACAGTCCTTTC